AGGTGTTTTGAAAGAAGAGTTTGAATGGCCAACTTGATCATTGTAATTAAAGAAAGGCTGTGAGTAAGCAAAAGAACCAAGTAAATGAAAGTGTGGAGACTGCCAGTGAACAAGTGTGTAAGGAACGTCATTAATTCATTCATCATGTGTTTATCAAGTGCCCTCGATGTCCAGGTAGTGTTCCAATGCTTGTAGTATATTATGAACAATTCTAGTTGGGGAGAGAAAAGGGGGTTAAAAAAAAGTAGTATTGATAAATTATATAATGTGCAAAAAGGTAACAAGTACCATGGGAGGCCAGGATGAAATAAAGAAGGGTAAGGATTTGCAATTCTAGGGGCGGGGAAGGGAAGAGACTAATTTTAAATAGGATTGTCATTATGACTTTGGTTGAGAAAGCAACATTTGTACTAGATATGAAGGGAGAAAGGAGCAAGCTGTGCAGTTGGGTGGATTGAAATATTCCAGATCAAGAAAACATCCACCTCAAAGCTTTGAAGCATGTAAATGCCATGCGTTTTCAAGGAATGGCAAGGAGGCCTCAGAGGTTGGAGTGCAGCAGGAAAGTGAAGTAGGAGATAGGGTAGGGAGGTGAAGGGGCCCAAATGTGTAAGCATTGTAGACCCAGGTGAAAACTGGCTTTGCTTCTGTAAGATGCAGAGCCTTCATGGATGTTTCAACAAAAAAGTGACATGATCCACCTTCAGTGGATCTCTGGCTACTGCGTTGAAAATAAAATATAGGGAAGTTCCAGAACATAACTGGAAAGACCAGCTAGGAGTCTAAAGTAAGGATGACTTAGGTATGTGGTGATAGCAGATATGGAGAGAAATCATTGGATTCTGGATGTGTGTTCAGGAAAGAGCCAACATCTCATGACAGATTGGATGTGGGTGGTGAGCAAAAGTCAAGGATGACTCCCAAGGTTTTGGTCTAAGCAACTGGAAGGATGTAGTTCCCATAATCTGAATTGGGGTAGAATGTAGGAGGAACAGATTGAGGTAGGAGTCTAGGAGTTAAATGTTGAATAACTAGTGGCCAAAGAGGGGACAGTGATGTTTAAAATTCCTGCAGTGCAACTATTCTGACTTGTCATAAGACCTATGGTGTGACCCTGGGGAATGGTGTCTGAACTGGAATATAAAGTAAAGTCATTATGATTAAAGAATTTATAACTCTGACAGTTGAAAGTTAATTAAATCTCCTGGGATGATGGTACAGACAAAAGGAGAAGAGCCAGGTCTTTGTACTTACAGAGTTTAAATATAAATTATGAGAGGCCACACTAATAAAGTTTGAGGTATACATAATTTGAATTATGTTGAGATTGACCAAAATATTAGGTATAAGATAATAGCAAAAATGTCAGACTTGCTGAAACACATTAAATGCTATTATGATATAACTGGAACTTCATATGATTTAGATCGATTTATAATCCCATAGTGGCATGGATCAAAAACTGGATTGAAAAAGAAAATTAATTTTTGCATCTTAAAACTAATTATTTTGTTAAAAATATTTTGGGGAAAACATTTTTATTTTGCTTTAAACATGTTAAACTTCACTTTATGCCGCTCATATCAACTCAGGAAGCATTTCTGAAAAGCATGATCTTATGACATCAGTGGAAAATATTCTGATACAGCATGCCAAGAGGTACCTTCTGCCTCATTTTCAGGTGATTTTTCCCTGATAGTAACTCCAAATATTATAAACTTCCAAGTCCAGAAACCAATATTTGATTAAAACTGCTAAAACATTATACTTGTGTGCTGATGAGTGTCACTTCAACATCTGAATTTGTGGAAGACTATTGAGTTGATCATGCATGATTGCACAGGCTCTGCAGGTATAGACAAGTTCATGTATTGAAACCTTATTTGAGAATTTAAAAAAATCAAAACAGGTTTTGCTTTACATTTCTAGTCAACAAAGTAAGAAGCGATGATGATGTCTAAGCCTTTAAAGGGAAAATGAAAATCAAAACACATAAGATGATCTACTTGTTTCCCACTAGTCACCCATTCCAGGCTTTTAAGTCTTCATAGGGGGAAGTCATAATTTAAATGGTAGTAGCTATTAAAATTTGTGTATAATACTTAAATCTGCCTGCCTGGTGGAAATTAACTGTGTTTGTGACTGAACAAAAATACTCATCTGTGTAGGCTTCATCTTTCAGTTCAGCAAAAAGATATAAATGATGTTGGTAGTTGAATTCCTATCAAAATGATTGACTTTGCCTAGACATACGTAATTCACTGTCTGAATTGAAGATGATTAACCTTTCAGGGGTCTCACAGGTGCTCACTTGGCCAAACGAAATCATGTTATATCCGTTTTTTTCTTGAGGCAAGTTTACTATAAAATTGTTCAAGAGAAATATCAGAATATACATGATTAAAACAATAAAAGTATAATTAAACAATGTATAATTAAACAAGGAATTTGTACCAACAAGTGAGATGTGACCATGTAATGTCTATTTCATAAAAAAATGACTAAATTGAGGAGGAGACACTGTTGTGCAAAGAGTTAAGCTGCCACTTGTGATGCCAATAACTCACATCACAGTGCCAGTTTAGATCCTGGCTGCTTCACTTCTGTGCCAGCTCCCTGGAAATGCTTGGAGGAAAGCCACAGGGAGGCCCAGGTAGGAGCTGCCCGTTGTGGGAGACCTGATGGAGTTCCTGGCTCCCAGCTGTGGCCTAGCCTGGCCACTGCAGCCATCTGGGACGTGAACCAGAGCATGGGAGATACTTTTTCTCTCTCTCCCCTCTCTGCCTTTGTCAAGTAATTACTTAATTAGCAACAAACCAATCTTCCTTTGAAAAATTAATTGAGTTCCTCATAACAAAATCAGTAAAGAGAGGAAGTCCAAATCGGAATGTCATACAGTGCTACATCCCTCAGAGGACACCTGATTGAACACTTGTGTCCTGATAAAATGGGCTCAGAGACAAATTAAGCAAGAAACCTAGTTATTAGTGATCTAAACAAGCTAATACATCACTGTGAGACCCAGGTTATTCCTTGTTGATGAGACCACCAGAAGAGCCTTTGTAAATGTTTTATTTACTAATTTATTTATTCACCAAATGCCTGCAGTAGGCAGAGCTGGGGCTGGCAGAAATCAGGAACCCAGAATCTAATCTGCATCTCTTCCTGAACCATCACCTGCTCCCTCCCTGAGTGTATATAAGGAGGAGGCTCATACTAAAAGGGGTGCCAGGACTCAAACCCAGGCATTCCGATATAGGCTTCCGGTGTCCCAAGCAGCATCTTGTCCACTGCACGCAATGCCTTACATATAGGATCATGGATATGACCATGGGAAGATTGCTTCTGGCTGTACCTGTAGACCAGTTTCAGATCAGTGGTAACCTGTGTTTTAGATCAGTGGTAACATTGGTCTCACTACTAAGGAACTAGTTTCTTTTAAAAAGTGTTTGGGAAGCTACTGGTGAACATTGTTCTTACATGGAGTCAGAGGAGGCAGACCTTAAATAAGTAGTAGATGGGGTTAGACCTTAAATTTGGTTATAGTATATTTGAAATAGTCTCATGAAGTGGATAGTTTTGTGTTGGCCTTTAAGATAATCAAGAGACCTAGCAAAGAATGTGTTCTTCCTTTGTTATTTAAAATTAGCAGAGGTAGGCATTAGCCCAGCATTTTCTTTTTCTTAAAGGATTATTTATTTGAGTTACACAGAGAGTTACAAAGAAGGATCTTCCATCTGGATTACTCCCAGATAGCCTCAATAGACTGCGTTGAGTCAAGGCCAGGAGCTTCATCCAGGTCTCCCACAGGAATGCAGGATCCCAAGCATTCGGGCACATTGGCAGGGAGCTGGATTGGAAGTGGAACAGCCGAGACTTGAACCTGTGCCCATATGGGATGCCAGTGTCACAGACAGAAGTTTTATCTGCCATGTCACAATGCTGCTCCTTGTCCCAGCTTTTAAGACACTGGTTGGAACACCTGCATTCTACATTGGAGTGCCCTTGTTCCTGCCCAGTGTTACTGTCACTTCCAGTTTTCTGCTAATGTGGATTGTGGAAGGTACTGATGATGGTTCAGGTAATTAGGTTCTTGTTAATGGGAGACAGGGATTGAATTTCAGCCTGGTGCTGGTCCAGCTCCAGCTGTTACAGGCATTTGAAGAGTGAACAAGTGAATGGAATCTCTCTATCATATTCTCTCTCCGTCGTGCTTTCTTTCCCTAATTTAAATAAATACATATTTTAAAAGTATAGCTAAATGCAGTTATCACATGACTGTTTAAAGTATTTACATTTTTAAAATTACATTCCAACTTGTTACTCTGATTCGTTTGTTAACCGTCACTTCAACAAGTCTAATTTTCCATTTAGGTTAATTCAGGTTCTAAAACTCTGTTGATGCCCAGGATTTGTTCACATCTTCCGTGAACCTCCAGGTTGCTCTCTGACCTCATTTAAAACTACTCCAGAAAATATTTCCCCTAATTTTCTACTTTTCATCCCTGTTTCTTCATTCTCTCTTGATCTTATAGGAAAAGAAAGACAATTTGCATATCAAATAAATACTGTAGAAAAAAATTCCCAAACCTTTTTCTAGTTAGTAATTTACTTCATAGCTCATTCTAAAGGTTCCAGTTGTCTCTGTGGGTATCCACCTGCTGGTTGTTTATTCACTAAACTGCATATAGATCAGTCCCTTAGCAACCATCAACTTCCCAGATAAAATTCTGTCTCTCATACCACCTGTTTGTAGAAAGTCAGGTTTCTTTTAAAAGACTTGGAGTTCTACAAGAAAGAAGGGTCAGGGTTTGGTCCTTTTGAAAATAAGTTAAAATATGTCATACATTTTCATGAGGATGTAAGGTGTGGTCTTTCCACAGTGGTCCTTCCTTCTGAGGTTGCCTTGGAGATTAAGCTGGTGTGGAGAAACTTTGATCTTGCAATGTCCATGACTCCAAGAATCAGGGTTGAAGTCTTCGCTCCCACTTCTGTTGTAGGATTGTGAAGATGTCCAGCCCCAATCTGAATATTGTGACCTTACTGGGCAGTTGTCTGACTTACAGCAGTGCTTACCTGTTTGGGATTCAGGATGTTTCAGTGGGGACCTCAATGGAAACTCTCATTCAGGTAGGTGATGTTTTTAGATTTTTTTTTTTTTTAGAAAGTAACGTTAAAATTTTGCTACATTTTTAAATCAGTTGCTCCTCCAGGGTCTGGCTCCCTGTACCTCTGATGTGAGCCCTGGCAGGGTTCCCTGGGACACTTAGGCAGAGAGGCCCACTTTCCGCCTCTGTGCCCTCTGTGGGATAAGGCTCTGTAGATCAGAGTGCACGGAGAGCTGACAGTTTCTTCTTGGGACTCTTGCGTCTGTAGGTACGACTGTCCATGCTGTGCATCGGCACCTCCCTTGTGTTTGGCCCCATACTGGGGAAGAGCTGGCGACTCTATAAGGTGTTTACTCAGAGGGTTCCGGACAAGAGAGTGGTGAGTAGGCAGCCACTCTATTGTGTGTGGTTGCAAACAGCAGCTCCACTATGGACTGAAAGCTACAGAAGCTTGTGTGGATTGTTGGGTCCAGCTGACGTTCTTGGGAGTCCTGTGGCATCATGGATATCCAGGCCTACAAGGCCCCAGAGAGTCAGCACTGTTGGGAGATAGATGTTTGAACAAAGGCCTCGGGCCCTGTAAGAACGTGGGAGTTGGCCACTACCTGGCACCAGTATGAGAGAGAATAAGAAACCCTGAAAGACTGTTGCTTGGTGCACATATAAGCCAGTAGAGGAGGGAGAGTATGGTTATAGAGAAGCTATTGCAAGGAAGTTAATTTCATTCCTGAAGCACAATTCTGTTCTAGGTAGAAACCACTCCTCTGAACTGGGATGGAATGGGGCTAAAGCAGACAGCCAGGGAGAGGACACCAAGAGTGAACTTAGAAGCTATGTGTCATCCAGGCCATATGCATGTCCCTAATAGCAGGTGTCACCTGAGCCACATCCCTGTCTTACCAGGTTCTGTGATAGGGTTCCCTAGACGTGTCAGCCTTCTCCAGCCCAGCATATCACTCCATTGGAGCCTGCTTCTTCAGAATGATGGCATTTTGTTAAGTAAATGTTGGTGAATCCTGGTGAAGAGTTATCAGGCACCCCATAACATTGTATAGCGACGCTGATGTTTTGTTGGGGGTCTTAACTGACCGGAACTTTACTCTGTTAGCTCTACCTTCAGACCAGAGAAGGTCTCCCCAAGAGGCCACTGAACTTATCTGGACAATAAGATGCTGGACTTTATGCTAGGAACATGCTTACAATGGAAGAATTTCAACTGAAGTTGAACTGTGGTTATGCAGCAAGATGGAGCAATCCACTATGGGAGAAGGGGTATGGGAGGGGTGGGGGGACTCCCCAGTGCTTATAAAACTGTATCACATAATACAACGTTAATAAAAAAAAATAAATTAATTAAAAAAAAGAAAGAAAGTAACTATACAAATGAAGAAGACTGCCTAAAGGCACAAAAAGTTCATCCATCAGGCAAGAACCCTAACTCCTTTTCTACAGACAGCTTTACTGAGGTGCGGTGGACACAATAGACAACACAAAAGTGACAGATGTGTTCACCCATGAAACATGGTAGAAGTGAACATATCCATCAACCCACATAGCGTCCTCATTTTCCTAGTCTCCTCTCATACCCAATCTTTATGTTCCTTCCCCTGTGCTCAGAAAATCAGTGATTTGCTTTCTCTATCTAGTTTACATTTTCCAGAGTGTTACAATGGGAGTCACACAGTATGTACTCTTTTGTCAGACATATTTTATTCACTTATTTTTTTAAAGAAGTTCATTTATTTAAAGTCAGAATTACAGAGAGAGGGGGAGATACAGAGATAGTGAGAGAGCTCTTCCATCTCTCGTTCACTTCCTAAGCAGCTGAAATAGCTAGAGCTAATCCAGGCCAAAGCTATAGCCAGGAGCCTAGAGTCAGGAGCTTCATCCAGGTTTCCCAAATGTGTGGCAGGTGTCCAAGCTCTGGGCCCATCTCCCATTGCTTTTCCTAAGCCATTAGCAGGGAACTGGACTGGAAGTATAGCAATTGGTTCGTGAACCAGTAACAGTGTGGGATGTTGGCATATCAGGTGTTGACTCTGCCTACTGTGCCGTAATACCAGCTCCTGGAAGCTACTCCTAAGTGAATAAAATGGAAAGATAAAACCTGGAAGAATGTCTTTGCAAATGATATGTGCAATAAAGCCAAAACTACATTCAGAGTATAGAAAGAACTAAATCAAGTTAATAACAAGGAGAAAAAAAATCTAACTTTTAAAAATGAGTGAAAGGTCTGAGCACATTCTCCATCCAGAAAGATATGTGGACAGCAAATAAGCCTAGAAAAAGATAGCCAGAACTGCATTAGGGAAATACAAATTAAAGTCACAATGAGATACTATTATATACATTGTTATACAACCTACACTGTCCTTTCTTCAATGAGTTACATCTGTGCCTTCATTAAAAATAGATGTGATGATCTATTTCTGGACATTCTGCCTTATTAATGTGTTTGTTCATATTGACTCCAATGCCATATTGCCTTGATTTCTATGGCTTTGAATTAAATTTTCAAGTCAGAGGGTATTGGCTCTCCAGCTTTGTCCTTCTCTTTTGCCCAAGTCCTTTGAATTTTCATGTGAATTTTGAGTCAATCTCCTAATTTTTTTTTAAAAAAAGCTTTATTTATTTTTATTGGAAAGGTAGATTTATGGAGAGAAGATACAAAGAGCAAGATCTGCCATCTGCTGTTTCACTCCCGAGTGACCACAGTAGTTGGAGCTGAACCTAACTAAGGCCAGGAGCCAGAAGCTTCTTCTGGATCTCCCACGTGGATGTAGGGCCCCAAGATTCGGGCCATCATCTACTGCTTTCTCAGGCCACAAGCAGGGAGCTAGATAGGAACTGGAGCAACTAGAATATGAACTGGTGCCCATATGGGATCCCAGAGCATTCAAGACAAGAATTTAGTCACTGAGCTACCACACAAGGCCCAGTCTGCTAATTTACACAATAATTCTGTTGGGATTTTGACTGAGATTGTGTTGAATCTATAGATGAAATTGTAGATAGTTAGTTTCTTAATATTATGTCATTTGACCCATGAATGTAGTATGTTTCTCTGCTTATTTAAGTCTTTAACTTCTCTCAGCAATTTTGGGGGCTATTTTCAAAGTAAGCCTTCCACATCTTTTATCATATTTATTCCTCAGTATTTTGTGCTGATGCACAAGCAATTATTTTTTGAATTTCACTTTTTTTTAAACTTGAATCCATTGGTTCACTCCCCAAATGTCTGCTATGGCTAGAGCTGGGCTAGTCCAAAGCTAGAAGCCAGAGCTTCTTCATATCTCTCATGTGGATTCAGGATCCCAAAGACGTGGGCCATCGTCTGACACTTTTACAGGCTATTAACAGGGATCTGGATCAGAAGTAGAGCAACCAGGACAGGAATAGCTGCCCAAGAGAAATGCTCATACTGCAGGTGGAGGATTAGCTTGTTATGCCACTGTGTCGGCCCCTAAATTTCATCATCAAGTTAGTTGTTGTTAATATAAAAGCATGTAATTAATTTTTTTTATGCTAGTGGGTGGGAAGGTCGAGGAATAGGGAGTGGATGAGACCATTGTTTCCAATTTTTCTTTTTCTTCTTCCTGTATCTGGGAAAAGAAGGGAGGGGAGGGGAGAAGCCACACCCAGCATCCTAACCACATTAGTACCTGGAGATGGGGAATGGAAACCCAGTGTCATCCCCAGATGCCGGATATGGAGCATGCTGTGAGGTTTCTGCTCAAATGGTTTTGATAGTTCTGAAATGCTTTTTATTTCATTGCTCCAAGGATGAAGAAATCCTTCCAAGATCTACTGACTAACATAGTCCACCTTAAAGTCTCCCTATTCCCAGATACTTGCTGACAACACTTGACTGAAAGAGTTGTCCAATTTGTTGTTGCCCATCCTCTGCTATGATGTTAGATGTCCTCTGCAGGTCCAATGGACTGTCATATCCCCCATGTTCATCTGGGCATGCCATCCACTGCACTGTCTTCAGTAACCAAGGAGGCCCAGTTCTGACACATGCACTCCACAGTCAGACCACAGATTTTATGATTCTCACCGTAGTTGGAGTTCTGAGTCCAGCAGTTCAGCTGGAGGGGAGGGGTATCCAAAGGAACCTCCACAGAGGCGACTCCAAACCTGATTCTTTTGGGTCCTAGCTGGTACAGTTTGGCTCAGTTTGTCACCCACATCAGCCTACATACACACTGATGGCTGCAGTGTTGGGTCAGTTCTGTCTCCCATTCCATCTCTTATGCAAATCAATGGGTGCTGCAGCCCAGCCCAACTCTGCCCACCACACATTTGGCCCTCATGTACACCAGCAGAAACTATGGCCAAGTCGAAGCAACCCCCAATAACCCTTCTCCTAGCCCTGGTTCTTGCGCATGCTGATATGTTGGTCCAGTCTGTCTCGCATCCCATTCAGCTTTTGTACACACCAATAGGTGCTGCAGCCTAGCTCAGCCCAACCAGTCCCACTATCCAGCCCACACTTATGCTGATGGGTGCTACATGTCTAGCCAGGTCCACCCCAGTCCTGGTTCTAATGCTCCCTGGTTGGAGCTGCCGCCCATCAGAGAGGTGTCCACAGTTTCTCTACTAGGCCTTCCCAGACCCAGATCTTGCAATCTCAGTTGGTTTTGCAGTCTTGCTTGACAGGACTTGCCCCCACTCCCAGCACTTGCTAGCTGATGCTGCAGCAAAGCCCAACCAGCTTGTACTTACTCTGGCTCATGCATACCCCAGTGGATATGGCTGCTTAGCCCAGCCTGACTCTCCCACTAACCCAGCTCACATGTAGGCCAATGAGTATTGTAGCCCTGCCTAGCCAGGTCTGCTCCTTGTCCCAACTGTCACACTTACCAGTGGGAGCAATGGCCCAGCAGGAGAGTCCTCAGACCCCCTAACCAGGCTAACTACCTCCCCATCCCCATGGCCTTGCATGTGCTAGTAGGTGCCATGGCCCAGTCAGTCATGGCGTGCCTCATCTCAGAATTTGCCAGCATATACTGTAATCTGGCCTAGCACAGTGTGCCTGATTCTAGCTCATGCTGGTTGGTGCTGTGGCTTAATTTGGCCTAGCTGTCCCCAAGTCCTAGCCTTAATATGAACTGGCTCGTGCTATAACCCAACCCAGCCTGTCCTGCACCCATCCTTTTTTCTTACATCTATCTATCAGTGAGTGTTATTTGTTTATTTGTTTTAATTATATAAGTTTTATTTTTGATAATTTTACATATTTGATTAGGGTGCAAAGGGTTAAGGGCTAGAGGAAAGTGGTGTGAGACCATTGTTTTTACATTCTCTTTTTTCCTTCCTGTATCTGTGGGGAGGAGAGAGATAAGGGGAGAAGCCTCATCCAGCCTTCCAACCATC